CTACTTAGACCTTGGGATTTGCTTCCAGAAACCTGGTCTCCTAGGGACTGGTGAGGTCCACGTCTCAGAGAAAGTGTAGAGCATCTTTAGCCATAGGCTTGCCAGATTAGCAAAGAGCTTTAAACTAGAGTTGCCAGGAGAGAGAATCAGTAATCCATCCCACCACCACTCTTTGAGGCCACTGCTAGTAATAGATGCCCTGGGCCTGGAGAAGGATCAGAGTCCAGCAGAAGAACACCTGAAATGCAGGGAAATGTAACCCTGGCCAGTAAGACAGCTTCAACGGGAAACATAACCCCCATTTTTAAAAAGGGAAAAAGGAAGACTTGAGGAGATACAGGCCAGTCAGTCTCACCTCTCTGCCCAGCAAGATCATGGGGCAAGTCCTCTTCAAGGCTCTGCTAATGGACATGAAAAATGTGGGGGTGGCAACTAATATGGGTTCACCAGGGGCAAATTGTGCTTGACAGATTTGGTGGCCTTTTGCGATGGAGTCATAGTATTGGTGGACAAGGGGAGAGCAACTGATGTAATCTACCTGGACTTGGGCAAAGTGTTTGACACTGTGCTGCACAATGTCCTGGTCTCTAAATTGGAAATATATGGATTTGGTGGATAAGGACTCAAAGAGTTGTGGAAAAGGACTCAAAGAGTTGTGATCAATGGCTACATGTCCAAATGGAGATCAGTGATAAGTGGTGTTCCTCAAAGGTCGATAATTGGGACTGGTGCTGTTTAACATCTCTGTTGGCAACCTGGACAGTGGGATTGAATGCACTCTCAGCAAGTTTGCTGACGACACCAAACTGTGTAATGAGGTTGACATGCTGGAGGGAAGGGATGCCATCCAGAGGGACCTCAACAGGCTGGGAAGTGGGCCCATGCCAACCTCATCGAGTTCAATAATGTCAAGTGCAAGGTCCTGCACCTGAGTCAGGGCAATCCCAAGGACAAGTACAGGTTGAGTGGAGAATGGATTGGGAACAGCCTTGAGGAGAAGGACCTGGGAGTGTTAGTCAATGAAAAGCTCAACATGAGTCAGCAATGTGCACTTACAGGCCAGAAAGCCAACCATGTCCTAGGCTGCATCAAAAGAAGAGTGGCCAGCAGGTCAAGGGAGGTGATTCTGCCCCTCTACTTCACTCTCATGAGAATCCAACTCAAGTACTGTGTTCATTTCTGGAGCCCTCAAAAGAGAAGAACATGGAGCTCCTGGAGCAAGTCCAGAGGAGGGCCATGAAGATGATTAGAGGGTTGGAGCACCTCTCCTATGGAGACAGTCTGAGAGAGTTGTTCAGCCTGAAGAAGAGAAGGCTCTGAGGAAACCCTACAGCAGCCTCCCAGTACCTGAAGGGGGCCTACAGGGGAGGTGGGGAGGGAGGGGCCTTTTACAAGGGTGTGTGGTGATAGGACAAGGAGTAACAGTTTCGGTTTGAAAGAGGGGAGATTTAGGTTAGATATTAGGAGGAAATTCTTCAGTGTGAGGGTGGTGAGACACTGGAAAAGGGAAGTTGTGGTTGCCCCTTCCCTGGAACTGTTCAAGACCGGGTTGGATGAAGCAGCCTGGTCCTGTGGGAGGTGTCCCCGCTCATGCAGGGGAGTTGGAACTAGATGATCTGTAAGGTCCCTTCCAACCCAAACCATTCTGTGAAAAGAAGTTAAACTGTGATATGTCTGCTTATGTTGAGATCCATGAGCTGGACAGAAGAGAGAAATGAAAATGGGAACTTCACCAAAGAAATGATAAATTGCTTTCTGAGTGCTGGTGCTGTTTTGGGATGGCTGATGGCTTCAGAAAGAAAAGACTGGGTCAGCGTGTACTTCTTCTGACTTTTTTTGGTTTTGTTTTTTAAAAGTGTTAAGACATGTTGAAAAACTGTATTGCATAACTCCTTCACCCTTTCCTTGTTATGCTTAGCTTTGTATATAAATATGCCTGTTCAGCTCCATTTGACTGGTTTTATACATCTGTTACGTAAGATGCAATACTAAGAATGAACTTCACCATCTGCACCCTTCACCTCAGTACAATGTTGCAAGTTTTCTAAGGAATGAGTAATGGTGTGTTGATGCACTGGAAATTAAAACAAACATATACCAACCACTAAACCACCTCATTTTCATGTGAGAAAGTATTGGGATATCAACAAAGAAGAAACTGTCACATGTGTTCAATAATACTTCCCATGTTAGCAGGGAGATGGTATATTTGGTGGCTCAGTAAGCCCAAGAGGGAAGTGGGACCCCTGTTAGACTACCTGTGCAGTCTGTGTCCCCAGGGGAAGCTTGGCTATTTTCCATCTCTGGAAAGAGATGTGTGTGAGCATGTAAAAGACTGGCCTGCACATTTCTTCATAACTTTGCAGGCAAGCTGTGATTAACAGCATCTTAGGAATATGCTAGGGTGAGATCGGCTGTATGTTTCTAAAGGCGAAGATCTTCAGATCCAAGACAGGCATGTTTTGTTTTTGTGTCTGTGGGCATCTCAAGAGTCCAGGTGAAGCTACACTCTGCTTCTTTGGTGAGCAGTGCAGTCACTGAAGGCTTTCAGTGACAGACAGCAGCCTTTCAAAACAAGTCTGGATTTATTTATCCCCTGGGATAGAGGACACATAGAGGAAGGTCAGGTTTGTGTTGCCAGATTAAACTGAAGATGGAGTCTTTTGGCACTGAAGCAGCCAGTCTGGATTTCTACACCTGTTGGGTGTCCTCACTGTGTCCCAGTGTGTGAAGCACTTGGCGTGTAGTGCTTACCACAACCTCCTGATACCTCCAGGGCTCTCTTTCTCAAGTTGCAGTACTGCTGTGGTCAGAGTCCTGCCTCCTTCAGCTCCTGATGCTGATCTTTGGTCACTGGAGTCTTCTGTCACCTCCCCAAGGTGCTCTAGTGGCTCAGAGGCAGTTCACAGTAGTCTTTCCACAGAAAATGACATTTGCACTTACTGTGGCAATCACTGCTTTCCCAGGGAAGAAATTAGCTTAGTCACATCTGCAGGTAGCAAAACAGTCTCCATTATGAATGTCTGAGCCTTCCGTATTGGCCATATTTCTTTGGTCAGACCAGTGTTGTCCCCCTGGCACATTTGGCAGTGTGCAGGGACCAGTTTTGAAAGAAGGGCAGGCTGCTGATTTTGTGACCAGTTTTAAGAGCTGAGGCACTGTGGATAACAGCCAGTCTCAGTGCACCCTGGCCAGCAAGCTTATAGCAATGTGGCATATTCATGAATCAAAGGGATTTCCTGTGAAGATGAGGATGGCTTCATCGCCCTCTTTTGATGCTGGGATCCTCTGCAACAGGAGCTTTAGTTTTTGACCTGCAGGTCCCGGTACAGAAATGTGCCCCATTGGAGGGGGCATGCAAGAAAGCTGAGGAGGAACTTTTTACAAGGGGGTGTAGCGATAGATCAAGGGGTAATGGATTAAAATTTGAAGAAGGAAGATGTAGGTTAAGATGTTAGGAGGAAGTTCTTCGCCGTGAGAGTGGTGGGACACTGGAGCAGGTTGCCCAGGGAAGATGTGGAAGCCCTATCCCTGGAAATATTCAAGGGCAGGTTGGGTGGGGCTCTGAGCAACCTCATCTAGTGGGAGGTGTCCCTGCCAATGCGGGGGGGTTGGATCTAGATGATCTTTAAGGTCCATTCCAACCCAGAGCATTCTGTGATTCTATGCTTGACTGAATTTTTTTGGCTGGCTGAGAGGAAGAGACCACAGCCACACGTGCTGTTGAGTTACCTTGTCTGTTGTTTGTGATTGACCTTGATCAGCCTGTACAGCTGCTGGTTGTTTAGAACTTAAAGATGAAAATAGGCTTTCTCAATTGTATATGCAAAGAAACATAAAACAGACCACCAAGCAGTGCTACAGTTGGATGCTTATGGGCCTGAGTGTGGAAGCTGCTATCAAAGTGTTTCTTTGTGTAGGGTTAGCAGTGGAACTGGGTGAAATTAGGCCTGCTGGAAAGAGCTGCAGGGCAAAGGTCTTTATTAGATGGCAGGACTTAAGGATGGATGCCCTTGATGCAGGGTATCGTTTTTGTAGAATGACATGTAACTACCCTTCCCTTGTGACAAGCAAGTGGGACTTGAATAAAAACTGGTCACTGCCTCGTAGCTCATAGAGTGAAATCTTTCTTCATCCACTGAAACATTATTTGGGGAAGAAAAAAAAATAAATTAACTTTGCTTCTGTGTATGGCATTTACAGTGTTTTATTGCAAAACAAGCCTTTCATGTCCCTTTGTAAAAACTGCATAATGAATAAGATATGGCTGTTGGTGTTATAAGGGTAGCTGTCAAACTTCAACTTCAGTTGCCTAATGTGATGTAAGATGAAAAGTCAATTGTGGGTGATCTTCCGGAGAGCTGAGTGACTTTTTTTTTTCTCATTTTATTTCTCTGTAAGGCCTTCTTGCTTTGTATCCTTTTCATGGCACTTTTTTGAGTATTTGACAGTGGTGTTAATAGGTTCAAACCTTTTCCGAGTTTGCAGTTGCACTGCAGATGTGATAACATGTTTTCAAGCATCAGGCAATAAAGTAAGGGGCAGACGGGCTGATTGGCTTTGTGGATGACTTGTGTGCATTGGACACGAGAATCATGGGAGGTCAAATATGTTTTACAGGGTTTGCCAACTTCTGGGTCCTGGCTGATCCTTACATCAAAACTGAGTGAGAAAAACCTTACATCTGGGAAGTCTGGTTGTGCCTAAACAACCTGATAGGTTTCCCTGTATCTGTGAAGCTGTGTATAGATTGTTTTTGTGTTTGGGAGCATGTACCTGCTTTTCTCCTATGATTTGCAGAGCAGGCTTTCAGAAGAGCTCAGCAGTGACAAGTTTTTGGTGAAACCTGATGCCTTCCTCTTGTAGGGCATGTTTTAAAAATAAATTGGGAATCAGTGCACCCATCTGAATGGCTCTGCATACAGATGTGCCTAGACCTGGTGTCTGCATGTTACTGTGAGATACATTCTGTGACTGGAAAGGTTTTCTGTTTTCCTCAGAACAAATTGGAGCCCTGGCTGGGCAGCACATCGTGCATGTGGCCTGCGGAGAGTCTCACAGCGTGGCGCTCAGTGACCAGGGCCAGCTCTTCTCCTGGGGTGCTGGCAGTGATGGACAGTTGGGCCTCACCACTATAGAAGATGCAGTGACAGTACCAAGGTAAGTGACATTACCAAGGTGCATTTCTAACAAGTTCATGTTTCCTTAAGGTGACTCCTTAGAGGTGGTGCATCAAGGGTTGGTCACCTTCTAGCCTGGAGACAGTGGGAGCACTTTCTCTCAGAGGGGCAGTAATTGGGCACTTCTCACAGAGGGATGTAAGGGCGATGCCTTCTCCTTTTTCTTACCGAGCCTCTGAGCCCCTCTGGGATTCAGATAAGTCCTCGGGAGATTTGGGCAGGACAGGCCTTTTGCTGGTGGGTGTTTGGGGCATGGAAAGAAAATGGGAGTGTGCTCGGCAGTTCATAGATGATAGGTCTCAGCTTATCACCATAATAAAGATAACTGGTCTCTTTGTAGTCAATGGTGTTATATCATGCTACTTTAATAACAGATATAGTCTGTCTCTCATTTGATCTGCCACTGCACATCCAGTGCAGAGCTGAAGTTAGTGACATCTGTCTAGGGTGAGTGTCATTGTAACAGCATTTGAAGGAAAAGAGTTCCAGTCACAAAACATTAATGTTTGAGCTGAAGGGCTCTGTGGGAATGCAGGCCTTAATTTGCAGGTGGCTCTGATAAGAGAGACAGGCTCACATGTCAATGTGATAGTGCCATTTAAAGGACATTTTGTGAAAGAACTTGAACCTTTGACATGCTATTCTCTGTACAAAACACTGAAGAGGTTTTGGTGCTTTAACTCATAGGAACAGATAGGCCTCTGACAGCATGAAAAAAGCCCAATGCTTGAAAAAGAATGGTGAGAGAGACACCAAGCACCAGCTATTTTCACCTGTTCGCAGATGGCTGGATTCAGCATTATGGCAGCAAATGTAGTTGGAGTTAGTAGTTGAATGTCTAAAGGTCTCCATGTATTTGCATCAGTTGTGTACGGATTTGCATCACGTTCAGGGCTTCATGCCTCAGTCTCAAAACCATAGATTGATTATATGTAGAACAAGTATCTGAATGGAAATAATAATTTTGACCTAAGGTGATGCTGCATTTTAGACACTTATTCTAAAATAGTGTAATTTTCTTTAGGTTGATAAAGAAATTAAATCAACAGACAATACTGCAGGTTTCTTGTGGAAATTGGCATTGTCTGGCTTTGGCAGCAGGTACTGTAACATTCATTATTTATTTCCAAGATATGTGCTGTTATTTTGCACAGTGTGCAAGACTGTATATTTCTGCATAATAAACTGAGGACGTCCCTGTCCCAACTGCTTTCAGGCCAAATGGGAAGCTATAAAATGAATCAAGTACCATGAATATTGAAGAGGAGCTTTGTCAATACCGTTGATTAAAAAAACATTACACAGGTGCCCTCTGCTGTCTCACTGGTGAATTATGGCAGGAACACTTAAAAGCTTTCTATCTTGATACAGTGTAATTAATTTGTTGAAATTAGCCTTGGTTATTACTGTTCTGTATGCAACAGGTGGACCATTCTTTGCTATGCTGTTTAAGTTACAACAGTCTGATACTGTATTTTGCTCTTAGTTGCATGTCTGTTTAGTTACCTGGTGACTTCAGACTGTGCTTTTGTTTTGTAACAATTTTTGTAATTTTTGTAAATAATGTCTGGCTTCATTTTTCTATCATGAGATTTGGGTGGGAGTGAAGCCTCCAGCACTGGTTCTTGTTAATTTTGACAAAGTTGTTTTTCTGCTGACCAGCTTTTACTCACCATTATCTTTCTTTCCTTGTTTTAGATGGCCAGTTCTTCACCTGGGGGCAGAACAACTATGGTCAGCTGGGCTTGGGTAAAGAATGTCCCTCCCAAGCCAGTCCACAACGTGTCAAGTCTCTTGATGGGATCCCTTTGGCTCAGGTTGCTGCAGGTGGAGCCCACAGCTTTGCCCTCTCTCTCTCAGGAGCTGTTTTTGGCTGGGGGAAAAACAGCTCAGGACAGCTGGGACTAAGTGATGAACGAGGTATTAAAATTATGCTCCTGTGTAAAAAAGAGGGATGTACTGCTTTGGCCTAGTGTCTCTGTTCACATCGGCAGTATATTTTTACTGAGCGGCTGTGTAACCCTCAACAACTTCTCTTGAAAGCGAAGGCAGAGGAACAGCCTTTGATGAATTCTACAGGCTTTTCAGAGTACGAACAGAAACACTTTTTCCCCCTTGTGGATGTTAGTGGAAGTGAGGAAGGTCAGAAAGATCTTTCAAGTGTGTCAACATGCAGGCATCGAAGAAGTGCTCATAGCCTATCTTCCTCTTCTCAAAAATGCTTTGTCCACATTTTGTTTGAGGTTGATGTGGAGCAAAGACTGTCCCACCAGAACAGCAGGCTGAACCTATCCCCTTGTTTGCCAGTGTGCTTTTGACTGGTGAGCAACTGCATGTTACAAAATGATGGCAACAGAGAGTATCTCAGTCCTATAAAATGTTGTCTCATTTGTTGGTTGTACAGTTTTCCAGACACACAGGGTCAATGGTAGTTTTTTTTAGGTGGCCATGTTTAATCAAGCCTAGCCATCAACAAGACTTGAAGATAGGTTTATAAATAAGGCTTAAGAGTGAACATTAGCATTAGTGACATTACCACTAGTCTGAAAAGCCCAGATCTCCCCTGCTTGTTGTTAACATGTTCTTAACTTTTTTTACAAAAGCAAGTGAGTGAAAAATTTTCTTTGGAGCTTTAAATCAACCTCTTCATAGTTTTCTGCATAATTGCTGAGTAGCTTTAAATATCTAGGCAAGTTACTGAGCGTGGATGTGATACCTACCATGCATGGGTAGTTTCTTTTGCATTGGTGAGTACATGAGGTTAATATCTTTATCAATGATCTGGGTGAGGGGATTGAGTGCATCCTCAGTAAAGTTGCAGAGGACACCAAGTTGGGCACAAGTGTTGATCTGCGTAAGCGTAGGAATGCTCTGCAGAGGGACCTGGACAGGTTGGATCAATGGGCCGAGGCCAATTGTGTAAGATTCAACAAGGTCTAATGCTGAGTCCTGCACTTGGGCCACAACAACCCCAGGCAATGCTGCAGGCTTGGGGCACAGTGGCTGGACAGCTGCCCAGCAGGAAAGGACCTGGGGGTGTTGATTGACAGCTGGATGAACATGAGCCAACAGTGTGGCCAGGTGGCTAAGAAGGCCAATGGCATCCTGGTCTGTATCAGCGTGGCCAGCAGGAGTAGGGAAACAACTGTGCCCCTGTACTCAGCACTGGTGAATCTGCCCTTGATTACTGTGTTCTGTTTTGGGCCCCTCACTATAGGAAGGACATTGAGGTGCTGGAGTGTGTCTAGAGAAGAACGATGAAGCTGGTGAAAGATCTACAGCATAAGTCCTGTGAGGAACAGCTGAAGGAACTGGGGTTGTTTAGTCTGTAGAAAAGGAGGCTGAGGCAAAAGTGTATCACCCTCTACAGCTACCTGAAAGGAGGTTGTAGTGAGGTGGTGTTGGTCTGTTTTCCCAAGTAACAAGTTGATAGGACAAAAGGAAATGGCCTCAAGTTGTGCCAGGGGAGGTTTAGATTGGATATCAGGAAAAATTTCTTCACAGAAAAAGGTGTCAGGCACTGGTACAGGCTGCCCTGGGAAGTGGTTTAATCACCATCCCTGAGCGTATTTAAAAGACTGTAGATGTCGTGCCTAGGGACATGGTTTAGTGGTGGATTTGACAGTTTGCAAGGTTAACAGTTGGACTTAATGATCTTAAAGGTCTTTTCCAACCAAAACAATGCTATATTTCTATAGATTTGTAAATGTTAGCATTGCTTGATGCCTGTAAATATGTGTGTGGCAAGAGAAAACATTACTTTGCATTTTGTGTACCTATAAATGGAACGATGCGTTTTGACAGCCCACCCTACCAACTGAAACATGTATTTAAAGAGATTACTCAAAAACACTGTGTAGTTTTAAAGGGATGCTCAAATGTTGTGTGTGTAATTTTATCTTGCTTTACACTCTTAGGAATATGAAACACAACTGTAGGAGTTGTTGCATATCTTGTGTTCTCTCAAAAATGCTCTTGGTCTATTCTCTTGTGCTACATGTAAGCTAGAGCTGATCTTGTGTAAGAGCAGCCATGTTCTGTCCATTTAGACTGACAGGTAAATGCTTCTAATTTCAACCAAGCTGCAGTTTATATAAGAGGGACTTGCTTTGACATGGAGCTAATCTTTGATGGACGTATAACGGGCATCTATTTGTGGGACTGTGTTGGCCAGGGATCATACTCTGCTTACCCTCAATACGGGACACTGTAGTAAATACTTGGTATTTATGGTAAGTGAATCATGGTAAGTCAGTGTAAATTATACTTAGTGAACTTGAACAGCAAAGTCTGCAAACATGAGTAGTCTGCAGCACTGTTATTTAAACAATTATGCTGTAGCAATAAGAAGTATAATTCCTGTCAAGATAAAGATCAGAGTGCTAAAATACAGAACACAATAAATAAAAATTTTGCTCTCATTTTTAAATCCATGAAAATGTGACCATTTTCCTTTCACTACCCAGAAAAAAAAAGCACCTGTCAGATCTTTAGGTGAGAGTCTTAAAAGAAAGACCACTACTACAGATAGGTAGGAACCAGATTTTTTTTGTTGGTATGAAGTAAGTGGATGCTCACTCAATAGCTAACTGTTTTTGGGTGCCTACTGCTCGTTGAAATGTTTAGCTTTAATTTTATTTTTATATTAATAAAATGTATAATCTTGCTTAGTGTATTCATCCTTGGGAGATCCACTTTTAATGATTAAAATGTCAGAGTGAAGGAGAAAAGCATCATTTAATGGTTGGCAGAGATTAGCCTTTGCAAGTATCTTCTTTGCAAGGATCTTCTTAAAGGATGACAACAGAAGGAAAGCTAGACATTTAAATATACCTTGGGATTCAGCTTGTCATGTGTGTTGCACTGGCATCTCCCATGTGTCAGGATTGTTCTGTGTGGAAAAGGTCTAAGCAATGTTTTGGAGACAAATGCTTGCAGTCATTGAAGAGGAGTCTGGAATGGCTTATGAAGCTGAAGGTGGTAGTAGCTAGGCTGCACTCATCATACCTCCCAAAAACTGCAAGTGTGTGTTGAGTTTTTACAAGATTGCTTTCTTACTCTGGTCAATTTTGTTCAAGCCAGGAGAAATATTGTAAGAATTAGAGGAGCAAAGCAGCAGTCAAGTACTGAAGGGCATGGCTTTTTCCCCCCTATTGTTAAAGCTTCCATTGTACACCTAGACCACATCTGAAAATCGAACTGCCGGTGGTTTTCTCAGACATTCAGGGTTGTGTTTATGAAACAGCTCCTATGTTTTCTTTGTCTTCAATGCAGACCGAGAATCCCCTTGTCATGTGAAGCTGTTGCGGTCTCAGAAGGTTGTGTACATCAGCTGTGGAGAGGAACACACAGCAGTTCTGACAAAGGTAAAGATGCTGACCTGACAACCTGGATTTTAACTCACATGCCTGATAGTTGCACTTTACTTTCCTCAGTAGAAAAGATAATTGTAGAAAATAACAGATTTAACATATTCCACCTGACCTCAGTAAAAGAAACTAATCAGAAAGTATAGCCTTACTATAATTCTGAGATCCATTGTCAACATGCTCCATTGTTGTTTTGGAAGATGAAGATATTAGTAACACTTGACAACGAATAGTAAAAACTTGGTCAAATCGCTTGAAGAAATTAGCTTTGAGCAAAAAAACTCCAAACATATATCCAAAGGGGTGAAAATAGCATTTTGTTGGAAGATAGAGAATTATATTGTGCATCAGAATGAAATGCAAGTAAAAAAGAATGGGTGTTAAAATGAAATACTAGTGATCCCTCACAGCATTTTCAAGAGGTTTTCAGTTTCAAACCTGCTGTTTCCAAGTGGTCTATAGCTTAGTGGACAGAGCACAGGACTAGAATTTTGTAGGTCACTTCTCAGTTCTTACCTTGCCTCTGCCACTTGCTAGGTGTTGCTTCCTTTTTTGATGCCTCAGTGCTTTCCACTGTAAAATGAATTAAAACAGCTGACATTGGGATTCCTGTGGGAAAAACACTGTAGAAGATCAGTTACATAGAAGCTTCTGTTCAAGAAAGAAGGTCACAATCCTTTTGATCACTGACTAACAGAGCTGGTGTAAAGTACTGTGGAAATGGGCACTCCTCAGCCATGTTTAAACCTGCTGGGATTTCATACTCATCTGGTGATGGCTGGGGAAGCTGGACTAGTGCAGACCTATCTAAAGAGAATTCTCTCAGTCTTTGATGGGTGACAAGGTAGCCATTTGGAAGCTGCATTGTCAGAATCCATGTTTCTTTTCTAAATCCTTTGGAAATCCCCAGCAATCTCTGCCTAAACGTGGGCTTGTACTGAGACTGGAGTCAGAGAAATGCTGGGTTATGGGTCCCTAAATGGAGAATATGCTGTTTGATTTGCTAACAGAGTGGAGGGGTGTTCACGTTCGGTGCAGGTTCGTGTGGGCAACTGGGACATGACTCCATGAATGATGAAGTGAACCCCCGAAGAGTTCTTGAGCTGATGGGCAGTGAAGTGTCCCAGATTGCTTGTGGCAGGTGAGTCCTGTGTGTGTGCAGTCAGAAATTTTCTTTGGTGGAGTTAAATGCTGACAGTGAGTCTTGTAAATAGGGGGAGTGAGTCTTGCTTTTGTATCCTGTATCAAAACCAAGTTAATTTAAATTTTGCTCCCCATTAGAATTTGAAGGCTCTCTAAAGGAGTTTGGGTTTTAATTGGAGTTGTTCCTTGTGCTGTAACCTGGTGAAAGATGCCTTTCCACCTTAATAATTCAGCAAGACTTTAGAGCAGCACCCCCTTTGGTCACAAGTTTCCAGCCTCTTTCAGGAAAAGAGGCTTAGTAACACTGGTGCTCTGTTGTTGCCTTTTGATATGTACAGGCTTAGCAAATTACTAAGCTAATTCTGTTTGTGAGCCTGAAACCATCCGTGTGCTGGCACATGCTGCTCTTTGTCCCTTCCATCTGAGGTTCTGCGTCTCATAAACTGGTGCCATCAGGTGGCAAAACTTGAGCATCGGTGCTAAAGCTGCAGCTTTGCACCAGATTCTGGCCTAGGAAAAAAATAATAAGTTTTAGGTTATGTTTGTTTTCCTTTTTTTTTAACTTATTTTAATTGTTAAACAAGGCTCAAACTTTGTACCCATTTCTGTTACAGACATCACACTTTAGCCTTCGTGCCTTCTTCAGGAATGATCTATGCATTTGGCTGTGGAACAAGAGGCCAGCTGGGAACAGGGCACACTTGCAATGTTAAGTGTCCCTCTCCTGTCAAGGGTCACTGGGCAGCTCACAATGGGCAACTCTCAGGGAAACCTGGTATGTACTGTGTGCAACTTTCATCAATGGCTGTCTAAAGACCACTTGATATTGTTCTGTGAAAGTTCTTTAAATAACAAAAGAAACTCATACTCCTGTCCCAAAGGCACTGTAGAAATTACTGGGTGGCCTCTTGCTCTCTCTGTTAATGTGTGTCCTCTCCCGTTCTCTTTTCATGGCAAAGCTCAACATTTGGTGATCTTGAGCCTTCATGAAATTGTACTTATGCTGATTTCTAAGGGCTTTGTTTTCTCTTTAATAAAAACTGCCATTGTAGTTTTAAAATTACAACTTCTCCCTCCTGACAGGACCTGTGTACCTCTCAAGAAAGTGCTATAGTGCTAGAGTTCCAACTGATTTCAGTCTGGCCTTCAAGGGACCCAGGTGCTCCTTGTAGCATAAAGCCTGAAACACTGGCATTGCAAATATGTGGGAAAAAGCTCAGTAGAAATTTGAATTCATCAACCTCTAACACAGCCACATCTCTTTCCTAAACAGATGCCTGTAAATATCACGTTGTTAAACATATATTCTCTGGAGGAGACCAAACATTTGTCCTTTGCTCCAAATTTGAGGTAAGAGAAACACAGTATCTTCTCAACTCTGCTCCCCTGTCTCAATCTTCACAATTAATCTTTTGGTTTTGGTAGTATCTCCTAAAAATGAAGTGTTTATCTGGGGTCCGTTCTGCCTTACAAACCTTACCAGTCATGACAACTATTGCAGGGATTTACAGCTTTTTATGGTGGCTGAAAGTTGCCTTCCTTTAGAGGAGTGTCAAAGAGCCATTGGGAAGACACTGATTTCAGTTTGATTGGCAGGGAGGGCAGTCCAAGTCTCCTTTGCAGATTGGAAACGAAGGGCCACTTTTCTCCTGAGACATCAGGGTCCATTCAGGGACCACATACAGAAGGGTTTTGTGAAGATACACTGGATGGAAGCTTGAATGATGAATTGTTTTTTCTGCTTCTGTGTTATTTCTTTCAGTAAGTGTTTGATACACACTCATGAGGCATGGAAATAGGTCTGGAATGAATATACTAAGCCTGTAGTTAATATATGACAGTATTTAAGAAGGCTTTGGTACATTCAAGGAAATTATGTCTTGTTTGTTGTGTGTTTGTTTTTTTTCCTTTCTTTTCCTCTTTTTAAAAATGTATTTGATGATGGTCTTGGTTTTTTCCATACCTTTTCATGCCTTTCCTTTTGGACTTCTTAATAATGCCACAGCTTCCTAACCAAACCTGTTCAGTATCAACACTAAAGAAGCTATCAGTTATATATAGAAAACAGAGATTATGAATAAGAAGGAACTGTGTTTTACAAGCTTTATCTTTGCTGAAATCTGTATCTTCTCACAGAATTCCTTGCCTGCTGATGATTTCCGGACCATAAATGAAACACGTTACACCTGTTTAATAAATGATGAAACTATAGATGTCTGGAGGCAAAAGCTTTTAGAAAAGAACAGTTCTAATTCTGTCAAGTAGGTATTGTGGCACTGGACAAGCCTTTAGTTGAAAGTTTTATTTAAAGAATTTTGTTGGCTTCCGTGCCATCCTTTTACTTGAAATTTACCAGCCTTTTCAAGCATGGTTCTCGATCGTATCCAAGGGGAGGACATTTGCCAGTCACAAGACTGCCAGGTTAGAGCTTCTGAGGAAAAGCAGAGGAATTTAAGGCTGCCTCAGAACATTGCAAATGGTGGGTGGGGAACTGATTTTAAAGTTGTCCTTCCTTGTGTGCTTTGAGTTCATGAAAAGCAGCAAGAACTTGTGAGCTGACTGATTAAATTCTTTCCCCTGTGTACCTGCCATGAGAAGGGCAGAACAGGTGGAAATCAGGCACTGCTAACATCCCTCCTTTCAAAGAGGGGTGTTACATGATCCTGTAGGAACCATAGTCCGAAGGGGTGATTCTAACGTTGTTTCCCATAGAAGGAAGGGAAGAGAGCTTAAGAGATTTGCTGGGACATCAATTCATAACCTCTATCTGTGTTTTCTTTTGTCTTCCTGCTGCAAATAGTAATGTTGTTCAGATACTGTCCTCAGCTGCATGCTGGAATGGAAGCTTCTTGGAGAAGAAGTAAGTGGCAAACAGAGTCCAGAAGTGTGGCTTTCCCTTGAGGCAAACTGGAATCCCTTTACTTCACTCACTGCTGCAGTGGGATTTGATATTTCTGATCAGACAGGAGACGGGGGCAGAGAGTGTCCACTAAAGAGGTGGGTGGTCAGAGCTGGATAAGGAAGGCAAATGGTCTAAGAAAGTGCATGGTGAGTGTATTGTACTGTAAGTGGGACGGATTCCTTGGAGTTGTCACAACTATTATTTTTCTTTATTAAATCAATATCAACATCTTTGAAAGAGAGGGACAGGAATACAACATAAAGGGAAGTGAGTGATGCCAGGTATCTAAATAGTCTCTTATCCAGCTGAGCCAGCTGGTGGGGGCCGGTGTGTGTGGAGCTGTATTTCAATAGAGGCTGCTTTTGAAAAATACATCTGGGGCAGCATGGAAGCATTTTCATTTTAGGTGATATAGGTTGTGGAAATTTTTCTGCTCCTGCTTACAAAAGCAGGAATTTCAAATGGGTGCAGCCAGGTGGTGACAAGGTTGTAACGTGCATAGCTGAGTCAAAAGCTGTGGGTTGGGAAGGATTGCGTTGGCTATGTCTGTAAATGTTGGGGAGGTGGCAGCATAAGATGAGGAGGAGGATGAATTTTTTATGATGATGTGATGAGTAAGTGACCTGTAGCTAGGTGAAGAAAAGCTTAGTTACTCTGAGTAATCTTTGAGTAATATTTTCTGAGAGCAACTTGAAAAAGAAAACATGTTACTCGTTATTGCATTTTTCTGCTGGTCCGATGTTTTCTTCTTTAGTGTTGTGACAAGGCAGCATGTGACTACGTAAGGAGAGTTGTGTCATGTCGGTTTAAACACTTGTTGAGATATCCAAGTTGTTGAGTCATTGTAAATAGTCCCATGTCTCCTTTGAATGTGGAAATGAGTGGAGTTTATGACTTCATCACCCCAGTTGCAGTTCTTCCACTTTAATGATATCTTGGCTAGTGCAGGACTTAACTTTTACAGAAAATCTGTGAGCAAATGAATGATAAAATCTGAAGCCACCATACACTGAAGTGAGGCTGTATTTAGCCGTATACCTTTGTATGTGAAGCCTTATTTTATGGTGTGCTTGACAGAAATACCCTGGTATATCCCTCCAGTATCTTAATACTTTATAGATCTGTTTGCAATGCAGCATTGTGGTACACAGGGTGAGCTGGAAAAGCAGCTTTTCTGTGGCCATGCGCCTGGTCACACTCCAGTACTACTTCTGCACATCACAGTGCTCTGTACCACAGGTTGAGTCTGAGGAGCTATTTCCAGCCTGGTGCCTGTGCCCTTATGGAAATAGCCATTCTACTACAGGAGGCTGTGCTTAGCTTCTCGTGGCCTTCAAGTCACATGAGCAAACTGACAAATGCATCCCATCTTTAATAGCTACCTTTTCCTTCAGAGTGTCTCAATACAGTACAGTCTCAGAGGACTAGTGACAGACTTGGGAAATCCTTGAGGTTGATGTGATTGTAGTAGCGATCTTTTTTACTAGCAACTGCAAGGTTTTGTGTGCAGCTTTACTGAAGACAGTGGTGCTTAGAGCCTCTCTTGCAGATGCTGATCCTGCTCTAGTTGCTGAGCTGTATAACTTACCTGCTGGCCTGGATATTTGGTGTTGCTAGATCTGGCTGTTAGGCTGTTGTCCTCTGCAGGCTTGCCTTCATTATCCCTTACACAGGGTAACACAGCCTAAGTAAATTACAGCCTTTCAAGCACAGCATAAAGGTCAGCATGTTTGTTGCAATTAAAGACCCTGTGCAGGCTGTTGTCATGTGATCTGTGCTGTGTTTTGATTGAGGTCGTTGTTTAGTCATAGTAAATTTGAGAGTGGAAATGTCAAAAAAGGTACTCCTGCCAAAAAGGTATCTTCTCCTGTTGGAATTGGTGGAATTGCCAGGAAGGTATCTTATGTGTTCTTTTGGGAACCCTCATCTGATGTTGCTTTGTATGGCAGTCAGTGTATGCTTCTGCATCAGCCTTCCCTTTCTTATGGGTTGTGATTAAACAGGTTTTGCTAAAGTAGTGTATATGAAGACAACACAGAGGATCCTGAGACATATGATAGGTACATATTGTAGAGGTTTGTTAGCAAAACAACCTGTCTAGGCAGGCTTGTAGGGCAGTAAAGGAGTCATGGGGAAATCAAAGATTTTGATAAAGTGTTTCCCAACCCTAACCACGACCCAGAGGAGTTCAGAAGGGGGAGTTGTCCATCTTATCTTTAGCAAGAAGTTTCCAAGTTCTGCTTTGTTTCCAGTCTGACTTATTCCCTGGAGGTCATTTCTCCATTGCTTGCACTCAGGTCATACCAATACACAGGTAATGGTGTCTCTTCCTTAAACTTAAGTCTGTCTGTCTGGGATTTCTTTAAAGAATTGATGAACATTTTAAAACCAGTCCGAAGATCCCAGGGATTGATCTGAACTCCACCAGAGTGCTGTTTGAGAAGCTGATGAACTCTCAGCACTCCATTCTCCTAGACCAGGTATTGCACTTTGGGAGTTTTGGGTATTCAGAGGAGAAACAAAGGCTTTGTCCTTCTGTAACATGCAAGTAACAGTGTCTTTTTTGGGAAGGGTTGTATTGCAGGCCAGATCCTTCATGGTATCAATGGATACTTCTCCACTGACCTGGAGTGATTTTCACCTTCTCAGAATGGGCTAAGACTTGTTTTTTAAAAAGTTTTACTTCATTTACTTTATTTGAAATGGCTGCAGAAATTAATTCTGTGTGTATTATACTTGTAAATAGTGACTATGTGCTCATTTATTGCCTGTCAGGAGTTGAGTGCTTTATGGCTGTGTAACTTAGTCTAACTCAGGATTTCTCTCATGAGTGCAGAGCTGGGAGATAAAATTGTGTTTTTTCCACATGCCATTTTCTAGCTGTAATTTTTATACTCTGGGCTTTACTTTTAAAGCAAGGGTGTGACCTTAACAAGAGGGGTTAACTAACCTCTAGCCAGCCCTGGAAAAGCCTTTCCGAACATATATGCATTTTGGAAAAAATCAGAGTTTAGTCCTGTAAATATTAAGTGATCATCAGCAAAATCTGGAAGTCCATCCATACTGAGTTTCATCATTCCGTCATTCCATGCTTAGTTTCCATTTCGTCACTTCTTACACATCATTGACATAGTAGGTGCTCTATGACCCACAATGAGTTGCCTTCTTTTGTCTTGTTTTCCTCTAGATACTGAAGAGCTTTGAAAGTTTTTTGATTCCTCAGCTGTCCAGTTCACCACCAGATGTTGAGGCAATGAGGATCTACCTAATTCTCCCCGAATTCCCACCCTTCCAAGACTCGAAGTATTATATTACATTAACTCTTCCTCTAGCAATGGCTATTCTGCGCCTAGATACCAACCCGAGCAAAGTTCTAGGTAAGAGCTTGGCATTTAAGAAGCACGTTGCTCTCAGCATCCAGCTGGAACACAAAGTGTTGCCTTTAGGTTTTTCAGTCATGTTTTTGTGTTGGTTTAATTCTTCTGTTAGGATGGTTGCAATGATAATTGGGTATTGTTTGTGGTGTCGTGTTTTTATGAAGGAGTCATCTCTGAAAAAGCAGCTGGGAACCAAAATCATTAAAGGAATCCTCCCATCAAAGCCTATGTTCTCATGTAAAAGAATTATAAATATAACATTTGAATTTTAAATATGAACTATGAGAAAATTAAGACTTTGCCTTACAGGTAAAATACAGTGAGTTAGTTACAAAAATATAAAATGTAGAGAATTTATGCTGGTGTGGATAATAGACGAGAGAGAAAATTCAGGTCAGGGATTTTTTTAATTTGGAGGTATAAGAAAATTTCAAAGAACACTTACTAGGGAGTTTAATACCATTTACCTTATCTAATTTACCTACATTGAGTAAGCCAGTTCCAGATAAATTTTCATGCCTCTCTGTGAACATAGTTTTTTGTGTATCTTAAAGTTTAAGTGATCTTATTCTCTTAAATTTGTTCACAATCTGAACACCCCATCTCTTCTGCCATTTTGAATCTTCTAATTTCTGGTTATCTTAGTCTGCCTCTTAAGGTTATCTTACACTAAATATCATATTATCAGGTAAATAGGTAATGCATTCAGAATTCCAGGAGCATTGCTCCAGTGAAATTTATTTTAAGGTTTAGTGATGTATATTTTTTTTATTTGAAGAGGCTTTGGAGCTGAGTTTCCTCCTCTGCTCAGTGTACATAGTCCACTGTTATTGTTAGTTTACAGGAAAGTAAAGGATTCTCATACCTTTGCTACAAGTTTCTGGTATCCACATGAGTCTGCTCACTTGCCTGTTGCTACAATTAGGAGAGAAGTAGAGAAGTTTGTTTTAAACAATCTTTAGGTATGTTCTCCTATTTTCAGTTGTAACCCCGTGTTTATGGGTTGCTCTGGCCTTTAATTCAGGATTTATGTTAATGTTCCCTCTGCTTTCCAGATAACTGGTGGTCTCAAGTGTGCCCAAGATATTTCCTCAGACTAGTGGACCTCTATAAAGGTGCAGTGGTTTACCTGCTCAGTGGAAGAAAGACACTGTTGATTCCAGTCCTGTTCAGTAGCTACATTACAGCTGCTCTCAGACTTCTGGAGAAACTCCACAAGGTGAGAGAAAAGGCTGGGGATGTGTTGGCACAAGACAATTCAGTCTTGTCTGACCTTTGCCACGTGTTGGTTCTGATTAGTCCAGGTGAGGAGGAACTAAAGAAGTCAGAGGTTTTTTCTGTTCTTGGTTCATACTAAAATGTAAGGGATGATGAGTTTGTGCAAAACTTTTTGGGCCTATTGTTGCAAGTTGCTATAATGAATTTTATGGAAGCAAACCTGCATGTTCTAAGAAAAATGCTGAATATATCCATTTTATAAAAACAAAACCCATCTGTTTTATTTACTTAGGTGAATCAGAAGGTTAAACATGTAGAATATGATAAGTTTTATATCCCTGAGATTTCCAGTTTGGTGGACATTCAGGAGGATTATCTGGTGTGGTTCTTACATCAGGCTGGAATGGTAAGAGGTTTTATGTATAATCATAAAATAGCTGTCCGTGTTTGTCTCTCTGGTTTTAGAGATATGTATTTTTAATATCCTTAATGAGTGTAGGAGCATCTGTATATTAATTCTCTCAGATTTGGGTACTCAGTGGCTGGACAAAGTTGACTTATAATAAGGCTGTCAAACAGAACCGAAGCTACTGATATTTACCTAATGCTTGCAACATTCTCTGTGATTATTCATGTGAATCTCATTCAATCATTGCACAAGGGGATTAATTGAATCACTGGATCCTTTTAATGTAATCGAGACCTCAGGAGCCAAATCCTGTATTCTAAAATTATAATTTTTACCCTTTACTTCTGCTGTTTAGGCAGGTATTGTGAATAATGTAGCCATTGATCTTAAAATGTTGCTCTGTAAGAGGAGGCAGTGTGGCGTTCTGGCTAGGGGACTGAACCAAGACTCAAGAGATGTGGGTTCTATTCCTGGCTCTTCCAGTAACCTGCTGGGTGACCTTGGGTAAGACCCTTCACCTCTTTTATGCCTCACTTTACCATGTGTAAGAAAGGAGATAACTAAACTGAGGGCTGGAATATGCTGTGTAGGAACCCAATGAGATTATTTAAGTATAGCAAGGAAAGGAATCTCAAGTGTGAGAAAACACCAAAAAACATCTGCCAGGTGATGCTGCAGGAGTAAAACTTGACTGTAGCAACAATTCTTGTGTGTGTTTTTATGGACTTTCTAAATGTTGTGTGCTGTGTCCCCTGTTACCCACTTTCCATCATTTAAATAATGCTGCTCTGTGCTTACTTTCAGTAAGTAAAGCAAAAATTGACTCATTGATACAACAGTGGTAGTTAAAAACAGTAATAAAATGATCTAAATGGTTAAAGTGGAGTAATTTGCATTGCAGGAGTGGTCTTATGTTGTCATGCTGTAGCCTTACAGTCCTGTTGTTTTGCATGGTTTGTGCCTTGAGGGTAGTTTTCTTCATAAGAGTAAGTTTCACTTGTGGCACGCTAGCACAGGCTTCTGTGGCAGTTAGTCCTTTTAGTAATGTTTGATGTGCAAGTTCTGAGTTAGACTCATGTGGTTTCTTGAAAAGGAAGTTCCCACACTTTTCTTTAAGAGGAGAAAACTGGGTTGCTGGTCCCAGAGGAGAAAAATTTTCTTTGGGTCACTTTTGAACTAGTCTGTCAAAAAAACCCCAACAAACTAAGACACAACATTGAAAGAGTACATAATTTCATATTTCTCTTTTTCCTTCACAGAAAGTAAGACCATCTATCATCCAGGTAAGAAAATAGTTTTTCATTACTCTTATTTAAATAAGTGCTACAGAAGCTGTAAATAGGAGCCAATCTTAAATAGGAGCCAATCTGTCTGCCTTTCTTGCAGGATGCTGTGACACTCTGTTCATATCCTTTCATCTTCGATGCTCAGGCTAAGACCAAGATGTTACAGACAGATGCAGAACTACAGATGCAGGTAATCCTCCTTTCTCCCAGTTTTCCTGGTCCCTTTCTTTTTGCCTGTCTTTTCCTTTGGTGCCTGCAAGGAAAGGAGTTCACTGGAAGTCAGTGTGTATAGCACTTTATTCTTTCTGTGATACAGGAGAGCAGAGTAGCTGGAGAACCTCTTTGTTGCAGAGGCAGTGCTTGGTATCTTTCACTTCATAAAGTTTGATAACATCAGAACTGCCAGATGTGTTTGTGGTGAAAATTTAAACTGTATAGGGAACAAATGCTTCTAGAATTATGATAGTGCAAGGATAAGAAGTAAGATGTCTATTAGAGGAGCTGTAAGGCTGGAAAAATAGACAATCTTTCAGATAAGTGAGCACTTTTTTCAGGCTTCTGCCTGGTGCAGGAGGAGTGGTTGTCTGAAGTGTAGGTTGAAGATGAACCACTGACACTGTTCCTGGTTGCAAGCACTGCTGTTGTCAGCAGCTCACCCACCCTTTTGCAGTGAGGGGCACAGGCCTGCAGCACTCCAGGAGCCTGTTTGTGGCAGGTGTTCAGCTCCAGCATCCTTACCCTGTAGGTGGCAGCCAAGCCAGCTCACAACTAGGCTGTGTTAACAACAGCTGGCTTCAGTGCCAATGTAAATCTTGCAGTGCTAGGCATTGCTCCTGTAGGTAGCTCCTGGGAGGGGCAAAGCATTGGGCACAGGTCTCCCATCCAGAGCAGCTGGGGTCTAGGACTAGTCCCGTCCTCTGTGAAATGAGTTTTGCCAAGGTCCTTAGTTGTCAGGTTCCTTCAGGGTGGAAAACTGTCATCACAGTTATTCATGGCCATAGTGCTGGTTCCATGTTGTATCCATCTCTTAGCTTTTCTATGGTGGTTGCAGCAAGGCAGAGGTGGCTGGGCCTGCACTCACAAGCTGGAGTCACTTTCTCCTCCATTCATTATGCCACTGTCTTCAGTATATTTCCAGCTGCCCAGCTTGTGGGCAGTGCACTGCTGTGAGGAGGACATCTACTTTATCTTGGCAAGACAGCAGGCTGGTGAAAGTTTTGTTACTCTGAGAGATAAGATCTTTATGAAGACAATCACTTAGAGGCCAAAGAAACCAGTATTTCTGTGAGTGCTGGAACAGAGGAAACCTGGTTTCCAGTGGATTTCTGTCTTGGAGTATACTGACTTTTAAATTGAATTTACTAATGTGAATTTGCCACTTAGTAGGGACAATGCATGAGAATGAATATAGTATGTGTGGTCAAAGCTTTGACTGGACTTTGTGCCTTACTGAATACCAGAATATCTGTGTAGATGAGAGCTTTGAATTGTATGCAGTGGGTTCCCTGGTGCCTTGCAAGGTGTGGTTGTCCACTAACTCCTCACCTTGTTATGTTAGGAATACTGCTTTCACTTGTAGTTTGACTCTTGTCAGGGTTCTGTTCACACTGAGTTTCTTAACTCAGTAAGAGCATGAATAAAGGTATCATTCCCACTCACTTGCCTGATGTTGAAAAGTGTTCAGGAATTTGATCTCTGTTGCTCAAATGTGGTGAGTTAATCAGTGGACACAAAAGGTGTTGGTGTGGGAAATGGTGGTGGGGCAGGGAGGCATGCATGCACATACCCTGTACAGAATGAGCTGTAATCCTTGTGCTCTGGGGAAACCAAACTAAGAGTAAGGAGGAAAGGAACACCGGGCATGTATTTGTTACCTGCTTTGTTCTGTAGAAAGAAAAGAACTGAGAAGCAGCTGTTTTACACACCTCTCTTTTATACAGGTTGCAATAAATGGTGCAAATTTGCAGAACGTCTTCATGCTTCTTACCCTGGAGCCTCTGCTGGCCAGAAGCCCTTTCCTGGTACTCCACGTTCGCAGAAGTAACTTAGTCGGTGATGCTTTAAGGGAGTTGAGCATTCATTCAGACATTGATTTGAAAAAGCCTCTTAAAGTAAGTTTTCCC